CCAGCAAAGATCAGAAACACATATTCATTGATGATGGTTGTGTTGGTTTCTAACTATATACATCTATATACTATGACTCCATTATATCTTTGTCATCCATTGGTTGGATGGACAATGAGATATATTTCACGATATGTCCAACCACCAACCAGAAAAAATAATGCAATGGTCACTGACTGGGATCTACTGAAGTGTGACATGCTTGAAAGTATGGGGATTTGACTACAGGAACTATGTCAGGGGAAGATTGGCGTGGTTGACATTTGCCGTTGATTGAAATATGGGAAAAAAAGAACCGACCATTCTATCCCAATAGGTTTTTTCAAAACCGCAACAATCACCAGCTGCATCAGAAACGATGTTGATGGCAGTCTGCAACGAGCTCGATCTCCTTTCTTCCAAACACAAATCAATGCAGCGATTTGCGCGCATGCATGTGTGGTCTAGGATGTCGGAGAATATCAACATGTATTGCTTTGCAATGCGGAGGCGTTCGGGAGTGCATGCTGGGCAAGTGCTCAGTCAAGCCGCATCCATTGCAGCTGATCTCCATCTTTGCTGTCACGAAAACAGCTTCACCAGTGGCCTTCCCCAAGGATTGGCAACGTCATGAGTTCCTTGAACTCGCGAGCGTTGGCAGACCTATGGTGACTTCCGTATGCATCTAGGAACGAGACTGGCAATAGCAGTGTGTCGGTTGCGGTGGTTTCATGAAGGCAAACTAAGTTCAAGGCAGCTCTTTACTACTTTAGTATGCTTGTAATTTCGTCAGATACTCATATATATATATGGGTGTGTCTGAAAATGGGAATATACATAAAATTGCCGATTTGAGTGGGAAATTAATGATAAACCACTATAAACCACTATAAACCAGGGGATTTTGGGGCATCCTATTTTCAAAACAAACCTGTATTCGGATACCTTTGGGAGCCATGTTTCATTTTGTTTTATGGCTTTCATTTGCGCAAATCTCGCAGGAACCCATAAGTTTTACCATCCCACTCCAGCAAGCTCATGTCGATCTATTAAGGTTCCTTGAGAATCCCATGCAAACATTGGTCACCCCATAGTGAATTCTTCAGCCATTCACACTCAAAGCATATATTTGTCTACAAAAGGATGCACCAAACAAATCAAGACCGCATGGATAAATGGGATTAATGTCATGGGAACAAAAAACATCGTTGTTTTGTTTTGGATGATATTTTCGGACACTCACAGACTTCGAACATTGAATCACTTCTGGGGTGTCACAGCATACTGATCTGTCTTCAAGAGTCTACACTGATGGCAGCAATCTTTGGATTCATACAGGTTCACGTCAGAAAACCCATTCTCCCAAACACTTCAACCTTCGGAAAAGATAGGAGGTTGGTTGGGCAGCCCATTCATCTTTATCAATTAACCAGCGGGGAAAGGACCTCTACGATCCCAAACATGTTCTCCTATTTTCGTCGAAGCCTTGAGGGCCCCAAAACTGTGCCCCGGTCATTTTTGGTCATGTCTCGTAGCAACCAGAATTCAACCATTAATCATTAATCCAATCAAATAGCCACAAGCCACAATCTATGGATTATCATTTAAGCCATATTAATCCAATGAAATCACCAACTTACAACCTTGAAAAACCCATCCCCAGCCCATGGTCGCACCCCACAGGCACCCCACCGGCCTCCAATTGTGACGTGACACCGCCCCTGCGCAGCACATATGGGGGCCACGACTTGACTTACCAGCTGGTTTCCTCGAAAAACTGTGAGAATAAAGGCAATCAAAACAAATCAACATAGGACATACCCAATCAGTGAGATACATGTAATGATATAGGAGATGCTATCATATCAAGTAATGATAAAGTAATCAGTGTATATGAATTAAACATACCCAACTGCTGCCTGCTTGACCAGCTAGGCCAGCGGAGCAAACTCTTCCAACCTTTGGGCGATGGCAGCGCTGGGAGATTTGAACGGCAAAAAAAATGGCACGGGACCATCTTTAAACCACCAAAGGTTTTCGGATATGATCATGAGACATCGGGATTTAAACAATGAAAACTGGATCTAGTGGCGATGCTTATGATCTGAACTTCGTAGATAGGGATTTAACCAATAAATGATAATACTGAATAGTTTATGAACATGGGGATCAATGGTGGATAAGACAATTGAACCCATCATGTTATGAGGAAATAATGGGTGGTATAATATATATATATATTTATATATATTATATTATATATCATGGGAATGATTTACTGGCATTGCATTTAGATAGTAGTAGGCATCAGAAGCTCTACTTGTGCGTTTATTGTATATACTGTAAATAATTCTTAATGTATACTGTATCTTTTGAGTAATTTAGAAGGGCAAAGTAAGCCATTTCAACGACAAATGAACATCTAAAGAACGTAGATGAGGATTCAATCTACTAAGAATCTACTCTCCGGCAATTTAACATAGCTATTGAACATGGCCCATTTATAGATGATTTACATATTAAAAATGGTGATTTTCCATAGTTATGTTAGTTTACCACAGGGTAAATCTATCTAAATTTTTGATTTCAGAAAAATATCACTCTATATAAAGGCTGCAGAAATCTAGACAGTGAAGATGAGCATTTCTAACAGTCCAAATTGTGTGGGGCAAATAATTTTGAGCCATTGCAATTCACTAACCCCCTTATAAGGGATATTCAAACCAGACATGTTCTGAACATTCTCCTACATGTTTTGTGAAACAGTATGTTTGCAGCCTTGTCTGAAGGTACACACAAATATCCCAAAAACAACTAAACAGCAACATTGCTGGATCTGTTCAAGCAATATCTATCGAATGCTTCTTTTTTGAATACACAAGCTCTTTCATCCATTAAATCCTGTTGAATCCTATTAAAATCCCATTGAATCCCATTAACATCCTATCAAATGCCACTCAAATCCCACGACCCTTCCACAACATCTTACTCAATCCCATTAAAATCCCATTAACATTATCACTCCCATTCAAATTCCATAAAAAATCCATTATACAAATCATTCAAAGTCCATTGAAATCCCCTTAACATCCGATGAAAATCCAATGGCTGTCATCCACCGTTCCAACGATCCGCTGTCCAGCAACTGTTGGGGCTCAAGAAGGTGCTGCTGCGGTCCACCTCCAAACGTTCCTTCTCCTGGTGATTTCTATGGTGATTTCTATGGTGATTTCATGGTCATTTTATGGTGATTTATGGTGAATTTGATGGTGATCTGTTTGGGAATTTTGTAGGGTTGTATGATTGTATGGGTGTTTATTGGGATTTATGGTGATTTAATAGCGATTTAAACGTGTTTCGATTTGATTTTAATGGGTTTTAACCATCAACAGTAGGGATTTTTGACGAGATCTTAGTGGGCCTTTTACATTCTTTTGATGGGATTTAGTCGGATGTCATCTTAAATGGTCACTTTCATTTTGAGCCGAATAATGATTAATCAGTGAATCAATGGTGATTTAATGGGATTTAAGGTTTAATGAGGTTTTCTAGAGTATATAAGATGTTAATGGGATTTCAATGGGATTTAGTTGCATTAATGGGATCCCTGTGGCATTTTTTTGGGGGGAATACTAATGATTATATGACCAGTGAATTAGAGGAAGATTCCTCCTTTTCAGACAAACACTTTTGTTTGTGTGCTTGATCACTCACGGACACGATTCAATGTCGTCCAATGAAGGAATCTCAAATTATTGGTGGAAACCACTCGCTTTTCGGTTATGTCCTATCCTAATAGATTAAACTTGAAGTTCCTTTGGTTGCTGATAGAACCTGGTATTTTGATGTTGCGATGTCTTTTGCGACTAACTGTCATCTATGAACAAATGCCATTGATTCTTGGTGAAGTCGCGGCGTTGTGGTCGAATTGAGATCTTTCATGATCTTTCAATATTAGATCTCCAATCTCTGGTAACCTAAACAGCGAACCCTCATAAAAAGCTATAATAACCATGGTTGCTGGTTTATTGTCAATGATTATCTTAGCTGTTTAGCCATCAAGTTTCACAATTTTGCCGTGCCCGGTTTGCTGGGTTCGCTGCCTCGCTGCGCGCCACATCACAAGCATGCAGGGTCAACCTGGGCCAAGGTACTCGTCATCATGAATTCATTGGGGATTCTTTGGGTTTTCGATCATTTCATCGCTGGATTGGTTTCAGGAAAATCTATCAGGAAAGCACTACATCTATATATATATGTATGTATGTATATATATATATGGAAAAACAAAACACATCATGTTTCCTCTAGATTTTTTCCCGTCAAACAATTATTTCACCAACCAATTCACTGGGTTTTCTGATTCAGTGAGGCCCCAAGTGGTCCAAGTTACTGGTCATAGTGAATACACAAGGGGCTGGCAGCATTGTGGGTTGATATTGAATGCTGCGTGTATCATGCCTTAATCAGTATCTTTATGGGTTATACCAACCATAATTGTAGTTTAAATCGTCATTTAACAGCTATGCCGACTACAGTTAAATTGTTCCAGGGTTAATGGGTTATAGTTGGTAGTTTAAAACCCCTGGAACATGTCATTGGGATCATCGTGATGACTTGCCATTGTAACCAATTTTGTTACAATCATTTTCCTCATCATCACTTTTACTATCAGCATGACTTATGACTGTCACCGTTTTTACCATTTGCATGACCATCACAACTGTTTACAATCGTGACTCATGATTCTCACGGCTTTCATGTTTACCATCATTGTGATCAATTCTGAGTGCTTTTCCTATCATGCAGCTCCGTTGGTGGTTACACATCCTACGTTCCGGTGCTGAAAAAAACACTGAGCTGTGATAATGGTGACATTGGTACGCTTTGAGTTGCTGAAACCAAGTGGACAGTGCTATGTGCTGAGTGGAAAGTAAGCAACCCTTCCCTTCCTCGGGCGCTTGTTCGAATACGGCACTCCCTTTGCAGCTGATCATTGCCACATGGCATTGACCGAGTCCTGCAAGAGCCACTGCCCAAGATGCTATCTGCAACTTCCTGCGCCCCATGATGCTGCAACGTACTTAGAAATACAGCTGCGTAAACAAGTTAATATGGTGATGTCAATAGGGCATGCGGCTTGTTTTAAGAAATTTACTTAGCTTATCTCATGAATATTCATATGAACATACAAATCTTGAATCTGCTACTTGCCATGGGTCTATTTATAATATGTTCTTGCAAGAGAAAACAACAAAAATGTATAGAAATGTAGAAGGAAGGATATGGGCCCTATCTCCACCCCCACAATGCTATTCTATATAAACTTCCAGAACCAAATTAAATGTATACAACAAACAACAATGCAACAGAAACAAAGTATATAATATGAACAGGAAACAAATCAAAAACAAAAGGCTAGAGGCTATGAGACAATGAGCATAAATAAACATAGATTATCAAACAAATCATCGCAAACCACTGTAAAAAAATAAGGCCCTCACAAGATTCCACTCTCAATTTTTGGCTGGTTAAAACCTAAGCAATTTTGTTAGTTCTATGGGTAAACAACCATTTAAAACCATTTAAAACAATCTAAAATCATTCAAAACCATTTAAAATCATTTAGCACCATTTAAGACAAATTGAAACCAATAAAAAACAATTAAGAACCATGAACGAAAAACACAAACCCCATCTAAAAGCAATATTGAAATGTTCATAGATGGCGGCGGTATTCCCAAATTGATGGTTAATAATGGAGAATCCCATTAAAACATATTAAAATGGATGATAACTAGGGGTACCCCTATTTCAGGAAACCTCCATATTTCCCTTGCTTCACTGCCATTTATTTTTTGGTGAAAACCCGCAGAGTGCCGGACACGAAGCGAAGCATCAAGGATTTCAGAGCCGTCGGGCCCGAAACCATGACCTTCCGGTTGCGCGTTCCAGGCGCTCCCAGGCCATGAAGAGAAAGATATAACTTGGTGAATTGGAGGTTTCCGGGATCATAGCTGCATGGTTTAGAGTGGAAAGTCCACCTATGGTAAATCATCATTATATGCTAGTATAAAGAAGTATAAAGTCAGTAAATATATAAATCATCATGTTGAACATTAACTTATACCTCATGATAATATATCAATATTAATATGTATATATATATACACTGGTTGGTGGTATACCTACATCTCTGAAAAATATGAAAGTCAGTTGGGATGATTATCCCATATATTATGGAAAATAAAACATGTTCCAAACCACCAACCAGTACATCATCAATAGCTGGATGTTTGTTTTTTTCGAATGGACACTCCAGTTGCAGACCGATCAGCGACGAAGGTCAAATCGATGTGGCACGTGCCTTTTTTGTTTTTGGCAACAAATTTTGTGTGTCACTTGGCTGTCAAATAGTAATAGATATAATAGCATAATCTAGTATTATATAACTAGTAAATAACAAGTAACTATAGTAAGTACTATAGTAACTACTATAGATTATTAAGTCATGAAGATGGGTCTTAAAACATGGCACTCACAATTTTGATGATTACTTGGAAGAACAAGCAGTAAAAAACATGACGTAAATTGTCAATAATGTGGAGAAAGCAAGCAATGACAACGGGGATAGCAATTAATCATGTGGATGGTAGTCATTCACAGGTGGGACAGTAGCGGCTAATCATAGAGATATTAGCAACCAACAATCACATATAAATAGCACGGCATATTTTTTTTATCCAATAAGTAAAACTAGAACAGGGCTTTGAATTATAAACTATGCCAAGCATATTAGACGAATTACAAATCACTATACCCGGTTTTTAGGGGGGGTTCCATACATGGAGTTACCCCCAAAAAAAAATCATCCTTTGCATCTTCTCAAAATCAAAGAACGTGGTCAACCTTTGAGAGTCTACCCAAACAAAAAGTGAACTTTTGCTGGTCATGGCTAGTTAATTGCGGTTATGGTTCTCTTCCATCTCAAGGATTCACATGCCCATTCACGGTCGGGGATGCTCCTCTTTCCACTTGCTGCCTGTAATCGCATAGCCAATGGGAAGTAGTCTGCGCGTCGATCAACGGGCAGTACTCATCAGCATGTCGCGCACTTGCTGCATGCAACACCAGCTGAAGGGTAGATCAACACCTGCCATGCTGACATCCACGTATATCATCATCTCGTTTGGTCCGCAGCACCCAAGCGCGGGGTAATCCAGGTACAGACAGAACATTCCAACACATTCCCAAAATATCTTGTGAAATCTAGCTGTTGATTGAATCTGTCCCATGTTTTCTGTAAATTCAATGTGGGTTACTGTGAAAACACTAGTTTCAGTGCTCTGGAAAAAACATTTTATCAGGATCAATCAGTTTATGCTATGTTTTTTGGATGTTATTCATCACTCTGTCTGTACCTTTAAGCAATGATCCTTCTGAATGCGGGATTTATATCTGATCAATAAAGAGACTTTACCTGCTAAGTTTTTTTTTAAACAATAAACAAACAACTTAGATAAAATCAGTTGTTTTTTCCAACCCCTAGCGGTCCTGATTAAATATGTGGACATATTTCGGGCTGTGTTTGAGCTAACACCGTCAAAGATGGGATCCTATCCCGCTAGATCTGCATACGAGGACAGTGGGATAGATTTTTTTTTGAAGCATTTATCTGATATCATTTGGGCAATGTTTAAATGTATCTATTTTTGTGTATTTCTATATACATTTTTTTTTGTTTAAAGAGTGTTTGGGCAATGTATCATTACAATGACGTAAGTTTCTTCGCAAACTCGAACAACATCGGAACGTCTCAACAAAACTATCGAATATTGGGAAGCCTTCAGCAATCAGAAGTGTGCCCGAACACAATCATACACAATCATGAGAATCCACCGCTAGTTGTTGGTGGTTCACAAACCCTTAATGAACCCAACCATTGTTGGGTCAGCTTTTGGGGCTTATCCACTATCAACCACTATCCATTCTTAACCATCACTATCATTTGCCCACTCATATCCATCAATACATCAGGATTCGTAGTATTATTATGAACCATCAATAACCATCATTAACCATTATTAACCATCATTAACCATTATTAACCATTATTAACCATCATATCCCATCATTATTGGACTCATGGTCCATGAATCTCAGGCTATCTCCCATCTCCACCCCCCAACAACCGCCGAGAGGCAGCGCGTGCATCCTGCGCATGCAGCAACTTGAAGAAATGATCGTCGGAAACCTGGCGGGAAAAAGCTGGGCCCTGAAGAAATCTGACATGGCAATGGGGAAAGAACATGGAACGCCCCTTCAAAAAAGGGAGATATTTGGGGGGAACATGGCAAAATCATGGGAATATTTGGGGAAACATTGCAATTCATGGGAATTCAAAGCAACATATGGGAAAAAATATATAAATGGAGGTTTGAACGGGAACATCATATTTATATATGTGATATGTTCCATAGCTATATATTAGATTGCGAGAGGTAAAGTAAGTTTGGGTACAAACCATGCATTGAAGCACGCTTTTTGCCACCAGCATTTGGTTGATCCAGTGGAAGTGTGTGACGGGTTTAACCGACCCTTGTTGTTTGCCGTCTTTAACTAATTGAACCCACCCAAAAAGTTGTGTTGGGGTCGGCAACTTCTATCAAACATAAAACTCAACACACGTGGCGACTTCCAAAAGAATGAATAAACATTCTAGTTTTTGTCAACTCACAAGCTAAGGTTCAAATGTTGCATATGTTTCACCAAGACTGCCCCACAAGCAGATGTATCCCCCCCCGCACCGGTGTGGCGCGATTGAAGGTAAACTCCACCACAGGGCGTGCCAGGGTTCCACAGAGTCGCTCCTGCCAGGGAGTGCCCTCGGGAAATGTCAAAATCCTTACAAAAAAAATACGTGAAGAGTACCTCAGTCTGCTCAATACAGCTAGCTCTTCTTTGGAAATTCCATGCCATAGTCGAAAATCAAGAGTCATGTCGGGAACCAACAAAACCTTGAGATCGAAACCTCAAACAAAAGGGCTTGGAACGTTTGCTCTGACAGTAGTTTTCCAAAGCCGCATGACATCCCAAACTGTGGATGGCAACACGAAATCCGAATCACCAGCCAGGGTAACTATTGGTAACTATGAAACATGAAACAGTGTAAATAATGGGATTATAAGAGGATAAACCGTCTACCAACTGGTGCAGAATTTCGCAACCATCCACAGTATGGTAATGAATTGGGATATGTTTGGGTGTTGAAATGAAACAGAAACAAGAGTACCTGCCATGAACTTCGGTTGCTCCCATTGTTTGCTACTGTTTCTTGTTGCTGAATGGTGCTGAATTGAAATTGTGTCCCTACTTCTTCGGTGGTATGGGTATATCTGTAAATTGCTTAAACCCCTGTGCTACGGTAAATTGTGTGCTGAATGGTGCTACTTCTTCGGTGATACGGCTATGTCACCTTATCAGTTCCCAAAAGCTTCCAGTGTCAAAAGAACAAACAAGTGGATGGTGACTAGAGCGGGATTGATCTCGATACTTGTTGGCAATCAAAGTCTATGTAGCTGTAGGTGTACAGTTTTTTTTTTTTTTTATAAGGTCGATTTCCATCGTTTGCTTCAAGGCGTTTGAGTTGGTCTGAAATGGCGTCACCCAAGTGGCAACTTGAACAAGGAACCTTGGTGTGTTCCCCCCAAAATGATCAGCAAAAACCCTTGGCTAAATAACCAATCACCTCCAACTTGCCATCCGCCTGTGCGCAAGGCAAACATTGCCGTGGCCATCTGCTGGGTCATCTTCTCCTTTCATTCACCGAATTGTCGAGGAGGAATTTCATGAGAAGCTCTATGTTCTTTGGGAATGCGAATGCCTGACAAGAGACAGCTGCTTTGCCGGCGCAGAACAGCTTTCACCACTAGCTTCAGGATGGTCTCGACTTCAAGGCGCTGTGAGCTTCCAATGCTATGCTAAATCAACCATACATATTAGCCATTGCTGGATCCAATTCACCCGGCAAGTACCATTTCATACCATTAAAAATACCATGTCTATCTCAACTTGCTGGTGAAATCACCCTTTATAAAGTTGGTGAATCACCATTTTCTCGTGGTGAACAAGCCGCCAACCACCAACGGTGAAATCTCGGTTGGTCAAATCGATAGCCTGCAAGAAACTCAATTCTCAGATGGCTATCAGTAGATATTGTTATATTTTAGCAATCAGTAATATAAGAAACTAAATTTATGGCTAATTATATTATATATATAGCAACAGATTATGGATATTATATGATTATATGGATTAAATAAACTATACCCATCCAAGCTCCTCGAAAATCTTTTTTCATGGTGCAACCACCCATCTCTCCACCCATCCCCCATTTCTGCGCTCGCCAGCTGTCCCGCAACACTCGGCAGGTGAACTCCGTCAAGGCTTGTGGCACACAGACCACACAGGCCCTGTGGCACCGGTGCATGGATTGAACCATTGGTAAATGGTGATTTGACCAACAAAAATGGACGTGTCCAACAAAATGGTACCTCAATTCGGTTTAATACCAGTAAGTTACTGATTTATATGATTTATATACGTACATTTAGTATGATAGGTTTCCAAGAAAATGGGGGTACCACCATTTCAAATCCATTTTAAACCTATTTTTCATGAAATAAACCATCCAGTTGTCGGGGTACCCCCAATTTAGGACACCTGCAAATAGATCAAAAGGGGTATAATAAACCACTTCCTAACTGGGACATCTAAGAACTACTCCCCGGCAATCTAAGATGGCAATGCTGGCTTCGTGGGCGTGAAGCCACAATGTTGCCAGAAGTTCGCGATGGTTGCCCGAAGCGATCTGATGCAAGAAGCACTAAACTGGACCAACTCTGAAGGCCACCATGTTGGAGATACACTGGTGTAGACCATCCCGAGCAAGGCATAAGGCGTTCACTCCCGTCTGGCTCACGAGGTAGCTTGGCATGGGCCTCTGGAGGCGCAAGGCGAAGCAGGCGAAGCCGTCCTCCACGGTGCCAATGACAAGCCGTCCTCCACGGTCCTCCAAGGGAACTACCTTGTGCTTCAATCATTGAACAAATGTATATAAGCAAGGTCAAGAAAATTGTATGTAAGCAAAGTCAAGAAAATGATACCATTCATTTCCACATTCACGCATGCTTCGCCTCACATGCATATGCTTGTGCAGCTGACTTGGGGGAAAGAACTTTCAAGCCCAAACATCTTACATAATCATACAAAACCACATCTGATCTTCTGCAAGCAAATAATTTCGTCGTACATCAACCCTGAATCCTATCCTTACCACGGACGATGTTTTACAAAAAAATATTGAATCATATCTTTAAAATAAAATTCATGATATATAATTCATAATATACCATATACATGAACCGTCCGAATCCCAAAAAAACAGGGGACTTCGTAGTTGTCTATCTCTTGGGCGCAAACAATGGATCATGGACGGAAATAGAACAGTCTTGGGATTGGTTTTCCAGACATCTTCCAACAAAAAAACATGAACAATCTTCAGGATTTGGAAGGGAATATGAGGAGGTTTCCTAAGACTACCCCCAGTCATCATCCATTTTAATATGGGGATGGGTCAAAACCCTGGTACCTAGTGAACCCCAAAATAGCTAGTAAATGGATGTTCATCCCACTAAAAATGTATCTATAGGTATTGACCCATACCCATATATTTTGATGAGATTTTCCATCATAAACCATCCAGCTATTGGAGAAGCCCCATTGATGGAAAGCCTCGCCTCGTGGCGCTGCCATGCAGAAGGATCACCAAAGGCGTCACCACCGTGGTCTTCCCTTCACCTTTTTTCCGTGTCGGAGTGCGGCGGCAAATGTGGGGATGTTGGTTGGATCAAGTTTTGATGCAACCAATACACTGGTTGGTGGTTAATATATGGTTATTATGTGGTTAATATACTGTTAATACACTGTTAATATGGCTAACTATTATGGTTATTATAGGGTTAATGATGGTTATACAATAACCTGGTTGGTGGTAAAACAAACCCCACTGAAAAAAATAAAGTCAGTTGGGATGATTATTCGAAATATATGGAAAAGTAAAGAACATCCAAACCACCAACCAGTACACAATTGGGAGTTGAAACAGAGCAATGGAGATTTTGACATGAAGCAATGAAGCAATTGGAATTTAAACTTGAAAATGAAGCTTTGACCGTTGTGCTTCATGCACCTTGACGAGGTTTCCATTCTGGTATTCGCAACCCATGAGTTCGGAAAGTTATTTCGGATCCAACATGATACAACTACCCTCCATGTAGAGGACACGTTCCTTTGGTTTCCGGGTCTGACCGACATCTATATCAAATTACTCATTGATTTCATCCATATCTTTGGTTCTAGAATCTCCAATGTATATCTTGAATCCGCCGATATAAGCCCACTGCCAAAAATCATCAAAGATCATGGTAGTTAGAAACCTTCTAGCTATAGCTTACATTTTCTGCTTCCAATATCTTCCGACCCCAAAATTTCCAAAATCTGCCCCCATCCGCGGTCAAGCCGCCCATGAGCATCTGATGCACCAAAGGTTTTCCGTCCTGACGTTGAGGTGACCGAGGTGCACATCTGATGGATAAGTTGATCAACAAAATCAGCAAATATATTGATTTAACCTAATGCAACCAAAAACATGTAATGATTCAACAAATATTTTGTCAAACCTATTGAACATTGGGATTTAGCTCTATACTTCTAATCTTCTATACAGTATTCAACATCGATATGTTTGACCAGCATAAACGATGGATTTCAGATTTCACTCGGCGTGACTTTCTAAACAACGAGAGAGGGATGACTTGTGGATCCCGCTTGACTTGACCTACTTGACCCCAAAGAAATTCCTGTGTGGATAAAACAATGATAAACCATCCCCCAAATCACCATAAATAGGCGGTATAGAGAAAAAAATCCAAATGGATGTATAACAGGTCATGTTTCCATACGTTTTGAGATGCCCCCATTACAGAAAACAATTCATTCCTCACAGTTATTCCCACACTGTAAGCTGGTCACTCGATTTCTAAGAGAATCTAAATGCATTGCCAATGTTTGAGGTCAGGGCTTCAATTTTGACAATCTTATAGTGGGTCAAAATCCATCACAACCGATCATGTTTAAACTATAAACTCTTAACTCTTAACCAAAACATGAACGCTGCAACCCAAATAAAGTATAGTTTTGCGCACCAGTCACCCTGGCCATGTTTGCACAACAAGAAACTTCTGCAGGACAATTTAAGCCCCGAACCCTGCAAGCGCAACCCTAACAATCCCAATCTCCAACCCTAGAAACCTCACAACCTGCAACGATCCAAAACGTACAACCAAAGCCTAAATGAACAAAAGCAAACAAAACACTGCGAAATAAGCCTGACAAAATGTGGAGATCCTTCCTTGAGATGTGAAGGAGGGGGTTGCAGGGAACATGAAGATATCATTCAAGCCTCTCTATAAGATTGACCCCTACAGCTGTCGTGGGAAAATCCCGTCTATATCCCTCTATAGAATTGGAAGGGGCTCGGTTTGAGATAGGACTGGCCACCAAGTCGAGTATGGTGGTTCGTGATCCACCAAAAGATCTTTGTGAGCACAGCGATGTTCAACATTGCAGAGCCCTCATCAGCGTTTGCCAAGACTTCTTGAACTGCAGCGGCGTGGCCATCCTCCACCAGTGCAACCGTTGCGTCCCCGCCTCGGCAATGTCGTCAGGTTGCCTTCAAATTGCTTCACCTGCAAGAAAGAAAGACTTGATCCGCTTGGGGAAGAATATGTTCACTGAACATCGACAGTTCATCTGCAGCTTTGAGAAGTTGTAGTTTGGATGTCAGCGAATGCAGTGCGAGCCTAACCGCAATGGTTTGACCAACTTGGGGATCTCCAGGCATGCTTCGGGATAAACACTTACACTGCTAAACTATAACGAAGTCTGACAATGTCGTACCAAAACCATGAGCAAGGCAATTGTTTGAAGCCTAAAAATTGCCACATATAGTGGTAGATTGGTCTATTTATCTTACGCTTATGGTAAAAAGTAAGAATGCGCAAGGATCCACATAAGCAAAAAAAATATTTCGAGACAATGGAGCATGCTGGAACTTATTAGAACTATCCCCATGTTGGCAAATACACTGGTGATCACCTATGAAAGCAAACCTATAATGTGGTCAGAATATGTCCGAAGATTATGATAGTTGATTCTCTACGAAATGAAAATGCCCAGGAAGTTGTTGCACTGGGATCGTGCATGTCCGACTTTCAACCCTCCATATCCGAGTATGGGATGCTGACAAAAGCAATCTATGTTACAGTAAATGTGGATATTCGATCATATAGATTGCACATGTAAATGTGGTGTACAGTACCCCAACATTTGCTGGCTTAGAATTTTTAGAACTGCACTTTCCCATGATTTCCCATGAAAATTAGCAGACCTTTTGGCTAACCCCCCCTTTTAGACAAACCCAAGTGGCAACCCCCATCCGTTCCAGTCCTGCACTGCATTTTGCATGGCCCTCACCAGGGCAACCTGGTCATCCCAACATCAAAAAAATCTCCAGTGGGAAAGAATCAATGGATAGATCAACCATTTTTTGGTGATAATATCAATTTAGTTGTTCCTGTTTCAAATTTCAATTTAGTGCCATAATAATCAACTTCAGAATTTAGTTCAGTTTCTCAATGAATATCAATGAACAATGGGTAGATCAGGCACTGTTTGTAGATCAAGCCCTGTTTCTTGTATTGGGGGATGAACATCTTATTTCATGGGAACATCAGCTACATGTAACCATGGATGACCATGGCACATGCTTAAGACAGAGCCACCAGGAAGATTGTTTTATCAGTGACAATTAGTCTCTCACACTAAAAAAAAAGGCTAGTTGGCTTGTCTTTGAGTTGGTGATCCAATCTCAACTTGGTCCATGCTCAACCCCCAAAACTGGAATTCTATTGTGGTGTCTATTCATTTCAAGTATTTCTCGAAAATCAAAGACATTCCCAATCAGTGGTCACCTCTAAAATTGAACAGTTTGCTAAGGAAACCATGGCCCATTTATGTACTTCTATGTTCTACCAAGTATTTCCATGGCCAATTTCAGCAAGAATATGAATAACCAGAGGGTTATTCACTAATCACCATTTGGAGGTTTCCTAAAATAGGGTTACCCCCAAATCATCCTTTTTAATCATAATTACCCCCATTGCAGGAAACCTCCATTTAAATGAAACCCCTATGAACCAATGGTTTTTACCCGTGGACAGTACCAGTGCCCCTGCCCCGCGCCGTGCCGTGCCGACCTGCTTCTTGCGCAGCACCAAGCGGGAAATGAACTCGAAGACGACCAGCCGTGGGTCGTAGCTCAAGCCATCCATGCAATGCCTAGGATGAGACTGGGCAGGTCGGATGGATGTGAAATATGGGATTTGACCATTAAAAAATGTGGGAACTCATCCATTTATATAATCATTGGACATATGTTTGTTCTATTAAACTGATACGCAATTGGATCTAACCAGTGTAAATTGGCATTTCACCACTGAACATGTTGGATGTTTCATGGAGTTATTCTCAAAGATGGGATGCAACTATTGAAAAGGGATACTCAGCAAGCAACAACTTGGGAATTACCGTCTGGTAATTTAACATAGCTATGGAACATGGCCCATTTATAGTTGATGTACCTATTAAAAATGGTGATTTTCCATAACTATGTTAAATTACCAGAGGGTAACAATTCAACACATGGATTTAACTAACACTTAAACGGATTTGATCGTTGGAAGTTAGGTTTAACATGGCGGCTTAACAATAAAACTGCATTTATCATCACTTCAGGGGAATTGAACGTGTTTTTTTGCCATTACATATGGGATCATGTGGGAATTTGATCATTGGAACAAAACCATTTAAATCATTAAACATTTAGAACAAAAACATTTAAATCATTAAAACAACATTAGATTGGGGATGTTGAGATGAAAGAGGTGCAATTCACCGTCCATGTAGGATATATAAATATGTTTGTTAAAATAACCCAAAACATTGGAACAGCTATATATGAATGTAGATGTAAACGTACATTACAGTACCCTTTGGCTGAATTGGAAAAGATGATGACCAGCCTGAAATTGTGGCACCAATCTGGAATCAGGGACATGTTGCAACATGCCAGGGCCAAACGAGTTGATACTAGAGAAAAATACGATGAAATCAACGATCGCATGCTATCAAGTTGATGATGTATCCCAAAAAATCTCCTGAAATCCAGAAATCATCATTTTTTACCATAAAATCACCAGAAAATCCCATGGAAATCCCATTAAACACCATGAAATCACCATAAAATCCCATGGAAATCCCATTAAAGCCATATTTTCCCATCATTTCTAGTTGCTTTGCATCCCATCCACTAAGGATCCATCAAAACTCATCGCCGAGCAACGCTTCGGCGCCCAGCGCCAAGGCCGCCTCGGCGGAGGCCTCCGCCAGCTCAGGGGCCAAGGGCTCCTGGAAGCGAAGAGGGCCTAAGGGTTGATATATCAACTAATTAGTAGAATGGGTAGGATTAGTATAATACTAATAAATGGGTAAAGATTATTGATATATTGGTAATACTAATATCTAATGGGTAGGAATTTGAGTAGAATCGTTCCCAGTACTTTGGCAGTGATCATGTATGATTAAATCGCAAAAACTGGGTATCAATGGGAATAGTGCAGTATATAGGTACAAGGTGGTGCCCCCCAAGTTATGTTTGTTGGTTTATAATCCCATGAAAAC